ATAATCAACTCTGTGCATAATCAAAAGAGAGGGCAATTCAGCCAGTCGTAAAGAAATTGAGTATGCAGATGCCCGCGAGCCGAAGGGGCGCTGAGGCACCCTCCGCGGGCTTGGTGAGGACCCGCGGAGACAGAGAGAGCCCGAAGGGGAGGGCTTTGTATTGCCAAGCTCGACCTTCAAACGCAAACCGCAGAAACTGTCGGTGGCGAGGAAGAGTGGAGACATGGAAATACGCGTCCATCAGGTCTAATGCTGCAGACCAACCCAGAGGACGAACGCACCTGAGGATGCGCTTCTGCGTGAGCATTCTGAACGGCAGCTTGTGCAGGCAGCGGTTCAAAACGCGCAGATCTAGGATTGGCCGTGACCCACCGCTCTTTTTGGGCACGATGAAGCGTGGGCTGTAAACCCCGCTTCACATCTCGGCTGGAGGGAGCGGCTCGATTGCATCCTTCGCCAGGAGGACAGCAATCTCCTCTCGCAAGACAGGGGCGGACAGGGGGCTGACCCTGGTGAATACACACCCGTGACTTGGGGGGCCGTTTCGCGAACTGAATCGCATAGCCGAGTCTGATTGTGCGTATGAGCCACCGCGAAGAGCTGGCCCGCGCTAACCAGGCAGGCAGAGCTCTCGCTAATGGACTCATCGCTACAATCGCTGACGTACCAGCAGTGGGGCAGCGCGGAGTGGGTGTGTTGATCCGGGAAGCTCGCGGGTCCCACGGAAAAGCTGGAGGTGAGATATTTGCTCTCACTCCAAACCCGAGCTCCGGAGGGGAGGCTCGAGGGGTGGGAGAAAGGAGACCGTCCTCCCAGCGCTCGTGAGCCACTGGCGAAACGCACCGAATCTGCAAGCTAGAAAGCATAGCGTCCCAGACTGGCAGATTTCGGGCTGTCACATCTGGGGAAGTGAAAAGTGTCCTTTCATAATGTTTTCATGGCAGTAAAAAGTGCCGTTGGAAATGGGGCCCCGCCCTCCAGCGGGGAAAGAGCAAGTTCCCTCTTCTCCAGATGGCCTGTCCCAGGGGCGCTTCGCGGTCCGTTGCCGGACTTAGCGGCGTTCTGGGCAGGGGGGCTGCCTGCTTCCGAGGTGCCCGACGCGCTCGCTTCGCCGGAGGCGTGTGCGGGGGCGGAGCAGCTCTCGTAGGCGGGCGCCTTCGGCGAGGAGCAGGTATGAATGGCACGGCGGGCGGAGCGGGCTACGGACCGCCGATAAGACATCACCCACCAACTGCTCTCTCACCGCCTTGAATTCCTGGGTGAATTCACAGACAGTGTCGCCGAACCTGGCTGGGGATATGGGGAAGTCAAGAAAGCGGACTTTGTCGACTTTGCGCATATCAGCCAGGGGTGGCGCTCCTGGACCACTAATGTGGACATCGTCCTCCCCAACGCACACGCAGCGGACTCAGTAGTCCGAAGAGCTAAGTCGGCGGCGGTGCGAAGCTCGTAAGCCTGGGTTGGACCCACCCTCGTGCAGCTCGGCCAGCGCCTGCGCTTGGTAGCGCTGGTAGGTGGCTATCGCATGCAAGGCGGAAGCAGCCTGGCCCGCAGCTATGTAAGCTCTAGCTCCGAGGGAGGTAGATAACTTACAGGCTTTGGATGGGAGACGAGGCGAACCCGCCAAGAAGAGGCGCCGCGCGGATTTACCGCCATCGCGCACTCAACCTGAGGAATCGCCACATACCCCCTGGCTGTTTCACCGTCAAGAGTGGTTAGGGTGGAGGAACACGCAGCACGAGCAGAAAAAAGTGCTTTACAAGACCGCGTGAGCCTACTGTGCACCTCCGGGAAGAAGGGAACGCCCCTCTAGTCGGTCCGGCCGCGGAGCTGGGGGATAAACCATCTCCAACCCACGGCCGAAGCAGCCCGGGAAAGCACGGCTCACATGTCCGTTTCAGGATCCGTAGTGACATCGCTCACCAGCCCGAAGGGGGCGAGCGGGTCTGGATCATCATCGGACAATGAAAGCCCACCCTCCGATGCCGCGGTGGACATCTGGTCTCCGGTGTCATCGGGCGTAAGGGCTACCATCTGTTAGACGGATCGCTTCCCCCGCCCGAAGCTTGGATGGAGCGCTTAGAGGAGCGGGAGGTCCGCGGGCCCGTGGGCGACGGATTATCTCTCCCTGAAACCCTCAGATCTGCCCGAGTGCCCGCTGCAGAGCAGGGGACAACTGGGGTGGTTCGCCTTTTTGCAAAGGCTAACCGCGATCTTGCGCAACAGTCATGGCATCGCAATGACGACATGAACTGCCCGCGAGCAGCGCATGAACATGCTGGACCCCCAGACATGTAACACAGTGCCCGCGCCCATCATCCGAGGACAGGAAACCACCGCATCCAGAAACGCACAGTCGGAGCGCCGTCCTGATAAGGACGTGCTGCACGACTGTGTTGCTCTTTCTGTGAAGTTTGCAACTTTATACGCACCGCTCTGGAGGACCGGACCCAAAGAACGCCAGGCAAGGGAGAAACCCAGCTCGACCGTCTGCCACTGCGTGTACACACTCTGGACCGGGAGAATGCTCTCGTTCGCTCAGAATCGCTGGTCACAGCAGGAGGAACCCTCATCGACTCGATCAGAAAGTCTCTGAAGCGAAAAGGATAGCGTCTGCTGCGCCAGGTGAGCTTATATACTCTGTTGATTGCTTATGCCGCTCACCTGCGCAGGCTTGCGCTGCCAATTCATTCTTAATTGGCCCGTTCAATACTCTTTCAGACGAGTAGCTTCTGAACCGAACCTCCCAATGCGTGGATTTTACAATCAAATCCACTTATAGTGCTGAAGTTCCCCCCGAAGGGGAACCAGAAGCGTAGGACTAAGGCATAATAAAAGCTCTGCTGCTTTTCTGTGCTGAATGGTTAATACTAATAGTGTTGAATAACTTTACTCATCAACATAAGTCCTGTAGAATAAAGAAGACCACAACTCCCATGATTCCACACTCAGGGTGCTTTCACACCTGTGAACAGATTCATTTGTTCCGAAAACAGGGATTAACAGGGATTAAACAGGGCGCAACGTATTTGTGGACTGGGAGGGTCCACTGTGCGGGTGACTTCCGGGAGACTTGGGATGTCTGGAAAGACCTCCCGCCCTACTCATAATTCTGTCTTTATAAAGCCGTGTATATGCCTATTACATATCCATAAAACACTGTGATATAGCCGGGCTCGAATCGTATCGCTTTCTCACTACAATGGATCCGCTCCAGAGTTCATTTAAATCAAGCCGAGACCACCTCATTCAGGCGATCTCAGACCGATTGTTTAGGGGCGGATATGAGCGTGATTGCTGTATTCACATATGCGAAACAAACAGTGCTAACTGGGCAAACGAGACATTTTTCGAAACAAAAGTCTAGGTGTGAAAGCACCCATCACACAGTCATCAAACTACACCTTTGTTTGTTGTGAATAGTGGTAAAAACTACATACTGCACCTTTAAATATTTAATCGGTCACACTTAGCAATAAGATTTCCTTAACCTCTTAAACCCCAGTGCTATTTTGAGATTTCCACCTGGATTTTGCCTACCCAAATTTAAAAGCTTCCAAAATCCACACGCAGAGGTGTAAATGCAAAAATTTGGTATCATTTTAAAGAAAACCCTTTGAATTTTCATAAAGCACCATAGAAAGTGTTTAAAATAACTGTATATGTTATCTGTGTTACACTGGAGCATTTTAAAGCCGCGATTCATCAGCGGATCACTCATATGTCAGCTTATAGACAAATCAGCTGATGGATGTGACTTTAAAACACAGTGTCCCAGTATATGTGGTTACACTCAGTAAACAGCGGTGAGTTCGGTAAACTGATGACCTTCACGGCCAATTGCAGTCATTTCTGTTGAGCATGTAAACACAATGGCAAATCAGCTCTGTTTAAGAAAGCGCTCAATGGCGCTCAAATGTTAGCGTGAAATGGACGTTTTTAAACAGAATCACAGGCTCGTTCTGAAAACATAGTCCCGTGGACGTTTCTGGAGACCGCGAATTATGTAGCCGGAGGTACGTATGGTATGGCTGCATTAAATTTATTTTAAACAAACGCTAACTGTGGAAGGCTTTCCCACCGCAACTAGTTTGTCCAGTTAGCTCGTCATGTACGTCAACGGACTTGAGACGCCAGACGACGATGGCGGGATTCGAGTCCAGGGTGGAGCGGTTCAAGAAATCAGGTAAGACAAAAACAGAATCCAAAAAATAAAATAAATGAGTGAATAACAGGGTGAGAATGTGGTAAAATCCAAAAACATGGTAAAAATCCGACGAGGGCTTTTCTTTTTCTGGACGGCTTTTGAAAATTATTGGTTGGATTTAGGAAAGTAAGTAAGTGGGCGGTTTAATCAAAAAATTGGTTGGGTTTAGGGAAAAAGGAGGGTGGGTCGGTCAACAGTGGCCTCCGGTGGGTTTAAGCGTGTACAGTGGGAGCAAACGGCACTAGAGGGAGAACTTACTCGAGAAATTTGAGATCATAAAAAGCGTACACAGAGGCCTTTTGTGGATTTGCGAAAACAAAAAATGCAATAATAAGTACCTCCCGGGACGTATTTCGCAGTGTACAGAAACGTCCATGGCACTACGCTTTCAGAATGAGCCTTGGTTGTTTTTAAAACTTCAGTATTGATTGGTACCGAATTCCAGTATCGTGACAACACTATAAAAGCACATTTAAGACACTTCAAGACTTAATAAAAAGGAAAACAAACTGTAGAAATAAACAAAACAGCAGTGTGTTGAATGCAACATATAATGTCTAGGGCAGGGGTGCCCAAACTCGGTCCTGGAGGGTTGGTTTTCTGCAGAGTTTAGCTCCAACTTGCTTCAACACACCTGCCAGGAAGTTTCTAGAATAGTTAGAGCTTAATTAACTGGTTTAGGTGTGTCTAATTAGGGTTGGAGCTAAACTCTGCAGGACACCGGCCATCCAGGATTGAGTTTATACACTCCTGGTTGTATAAACTCAGAGCAAATTAAAGAAGCATAACTCACCTAGCAGCTCCACGACCTGAATGAGCACAGAAGTGGGCACCGTGTCCAGCTCATCCTCAGAGCGCTCTATGGTTTCTCCTACACTGTAGGTTAGCAGCTGTTCAGCGAAGGCCATCGACAATGGAAACTCAAGAAGCAACGAGTGCAACACCAGCACTGCTCCAGGAGGGGGAGACACGCCTGTGGACAGAAATATAGATATGAGCTAAAGTCAGCAGGAATGGTCTTAATGAATCTGATTGTTCACTTAGAGAATGCAAAATAATGCAGATCACTGTTAAAATAAAATAAATGTACAGTGGGGAAAATAAGTATTAAACACGTCATGTTTTTCTAAAGGAGCTGCTGACATGGAATTGAACCAGATTTTGGTAAAAACCCAAACAATACAAACATAAACATAAAACAAAAGCAAAAAATATGAGTTTTGTGTAATAACAATGAAACAACACAAGGAGAAAGTACTGAACTGTTGAAACGTATTTAATACTTTATATAAAAGGATTTTTTTGGTGATCGCAGCTTAAAGACGCCTCTTACATGGAGACTGAAGCCTCATGCGTTGCTCAGGTGTGAGTTTCTCATAGACTTCAACAGAGTGTCAAAATCTTGATGCGTCTGTGGGTCTCGTCTATTAAATCTGAGCTTAATTTTATGTTTTCTATTGAATTTGTTTCAGGTAATTGGCTGGGCCATTCTACAGCTTGATTGTCTTTCTCTGAAAGCATTTGAGAGTCTCCTTGGCTGTGTTTTGGATCACTGTCTTGCTGAAATGTCCACCCTGGTTTCATCTTTATCCTCCTGTTAATGTAGATGTTAGACTGAAGCAGCTGATGTTCATTTACACTGAGGAAGGGCAGAAGGTTGCTAAAGAACTACTGAGAGATTTCAGCTGCTGTCTGGGCTTTCCAAGTCTTTCTACACCCCATTTCTTCATGTGTTCGATTATTTTTCCCTGCGTTATTTCATTTTATTGCACATCATTTAATGAATAAAATAAAATTGGTTTTATTTTCTTTGTATATATGGATTTCTTTAGTTGTTACCGACATGCAGTGAACATTTGAAGTCTCCAGCACCGTTAGAAATATGATTTCTGAGAAAAATGGTGACGTGTTCAATACTTCTTTCCCCCACTGTATGTAAGAGAATGTGACATGCCCAATTTGTCGTGCACTTTGTCGGTGGGGATAATGATGCTAGGATACTGGTTGGCTGTGGGTGGAGAAGTGAGGCCGGTGTTGGACGGAGAGGCGTCCAGCGGGAAACACACGGCCCCCATCAGGTTCAGCTGGCCATTACGCTGCACTTTATGACTGAATCCATACACCATCACTCGAGTCCATGGAGCTTTGAACAGAGAGGAACTAAGAGAGAGAAAAAATGTAATTAGCATTATCAAATATTTGTACAGGCAGTTCATTCCGCTGTGGCGACCCCAGATTAATAAAGGGACTAAGCCGAAATGAATGAATAAATGAACATTTGAACACAAAATGTCCTTAACACAGGGACTACTGTATTGGTCATAGCGGTCATTCTTACCTTTCTCATATTGAACATTACATTCAGTCCTATAACTGTGCATTCACACCGAAGAAGGTGGTGAGAACGTCAAAGGTCGCCGTTGCAGCATATCATATCATATCATATCATATCAGTTACATTACCACATAAAACATGCTTTCTAGCGTGAAGATGTTGCACACTTTTTATCAAATTCAATAAACAATGGAAGATCAAGTTTGTGGTGTGGCTTTGCTTCACTTAATTTTCCAACATGTCCATATGTCTGAAATATCCTGAAGCAGCAATACTGTTCTGTTTTGTCGCATGAGATTCTCGCTTTTTTTAAAGAAAAATAAATATATATATCATCCATGCACATCAGAAACTCGCCAGTAACTTTTTTTAATGTATGTTCCTGTAAGAAAAACATTGGAAATAATTGGAAATCTGGCGTAATAATCAAAGCCTTGGGAACAAGAGTGGTCGGAACCAAAGTTCACAGATTGTTTTCTGGACTCTTCTCAATCTGTGAATTTCTACATTCTGATTGCTTGCCGCCGAACCGCGTCATTGCTCATTACCATAAAGTTGACTTGATTTCAACGCTCCAACCCTCACAGTAATGCAAAAACAGTAATTACACAGTGTATAATTCATATTATTTATCAAACTGCCCATTGATTTATCAAACTGCCCATTGGTATAATATTAATGTTGTATCGAAATTAGCTCCATTTATGAATATTAATAATCAATAATAACCGGTTATTATTAATTATTAATATTCCGGCTCACCCTTCTGTCAATTTGGTTATATATATATATATATATTTATGATTCTGCCCCCCTCGTCCAAGCGCACTCTGAGATTATGAATATTTATTATCAATAATAACAAATTATTATTAATCATTCATATTCTGAATTAACTTGTTGTTAATTTGAGCAAATACATATAAACAGACCTCGCCAGCTTGCCTGAGCGGACTCTGTAATAATCTATTTACTTAGAAAGGGAATTATTACTACTCCTTGTAGATCAATCATTTATAAGTTTTGATTAACTTATTATAGCTTGTAGCAAGGAATCAATCGTTTCAGTGACTTTTTCTGTGAGGCAAACAATACAATCCAACGTGATTATAAGTATATTTATTGACTAGTCTGACATATAACAAACAAACGCACAAACATAGAACAAACGTATACTGAAGATATATAGGCTATATATGGATCTATAGAACATATAAAAAACAAAAAGAAACAGAAAAGCGAGGAATTAGAGAGTTTAGGTAAAAGAATGGCAAATCTACCTCAGTTCCACACAACTATTCAGGACCACCAAGATTACAAAAAACACATTTTTGATGAGGGGCACAGGCTTAACGCATAACCAAATACCTGGAGTTTTAGGATTTTTCTGTCTCTCTCTTTTTGTGAGTTTCTTCCGATGCACTCGGGTACGGAGTCCTTTGATGTCCTTTCTTGATGCGTGAAGTTTGCAATGCAGGTCGGAGGATACACGATCGCAACTTTAAACTGAGTTTTACTTTGCTGAAAAAATAAGAAAACGTGGGCTCGGACGAGCCATGCAGTTACAGAAATGCGGTTTGCCCCCTCAAATGGGGGGCGCACCTTTTGAAAAGCTTCTTTTGGATCTTGTACGCAGAGTTGCGCGCGAAGCTGGGTTTTAAACTGTGGTGGCATGTCAACTACTGACTGACCAATGGTCTCCTGGCAAAGTTTGAGCGGGAGATTTTCTTTGTCTCTGGACCGCTAATATGCAAAATAAGGATCCGCCCGAAAGCATGCGAAGAGACATTAACTCAGAGCATTAAATCATTTAAGCTGTATAGATTACGATCACGCGCTACGCATCATGTCACGGTCGGTGAGGGGAAAAGGAGCGAGGACTCAGGTGCAGCAATAATGGGTTTTTATTAATTATAAAATGAAAACAAAAAGGCAAAACAAACAACCCAGAGGGGGAAAAACTCTAATAAAACAAATAAATGAACAAACAGACTTGACTGGCTGGACAAGACAGGGCTAGACACAACAGGACAGGAAACTTTCGACGACGAACTCACAAAGGACTGAAAACATGAGGGGGATTATAAAGCAAAAAAGTAAATTGAAACACAGGTGAACACAATTAACTAAATATGGGTTAACAAGGAGGGTGGGACTAGACAATAGACGGGAGAGCGCATGACACAGAGAGACAATACAAGCCATGCGCTCACATAACACAACACTGAAGCACACGACAAAAGCACGTGACCAATGTAAACACCGAGCCATGTGCTTTGACAAAAGACGCAAGACACGAGCACACGATGAATGAAAACACTCACCATGCGCTCACATATGCAGCATGCATGCTTCATCCCAGCGCCGACCAAAACCGAAACCAACAAGACTGAGACGCTGGGAATGAAACACCATGCTGCTGACAGACGAAAACACAAACACGAGTACAAGAGCGCACGCGTCTGAGGGACGCAGAGCGCGCGCGCGGCCGCGTCAAGCAGGAGCGCGCACACTCTACGTACACCCACGACGGCGCGCGCTCACACAGAGACAGAAACAGGACCAGACATGAGAAGTGTCAGAGCTCTGCCACCAAAACAAGAATTTTCAAGACCAAAGTGGCAGAACCCTGACACTAGCCCCCCCCAAAAGGGACGCCACCTGGCGTCCCTAAAGGGTACATCCAACAAGGTACAAGACAGACAAGAAACACTACAAGACAACAAAACAGGCAACATCAACAGACACAAGACAGGGGGGTGAACAGGCAAGACGACATGAAGGGGGGGAGGGAGGGAAGCCAAGCCGGACTCAACAAGACAAACAAGGGAGGGATGGGAGGGCAAGACCAGGGAGGATCAGGAGGGACAGTCCAGGACAGATGCAATGGGTCAGGGACCCCGGCAGGGAACCGAGGTGGAGCCGGAGGATCAGTCCAGGGTGGCAGAGGCATGCTCCAAGGTGGAGCAGGAGGGACAACCCAAGGAGGATCGGCCTGGGATACCAAGGCAGGAGGCCTGTAGGGAGCTGGCTGGGATGAAGGCCTGTGGGGAGCCGGCTGGTCTAGAGGAGACTTAACTAAAGCCGGCGGGGCTGAAGACCAGAGGGGAGCCGGCGGGGCTAGGAGCCGGGCTGGGGCCGGCTGGGCAAGACGTCTGGGGTGCGCTGGCAGGGCAAGGAGCTGGGCTGGGGCCGGCAGGGCAAGACGTCTGGTTGGGGCCGGCAGGGAAAAGAGCCGGGCTGGGGCCGGCAGGGCAAGGAGCCGGGCTGGGGCCGGCAGGGCTAGACGTCTGGTAGGTGCCGGCAGGGCAAGGAGCCGGGCTGGGGCCGGCAGGGCTAGACGTCTGGTAGGTGCCGGCAGGGAAAGACGTCTGGTAGGTGCCGGCAGGGCAAGGTGCCGGGCTGGAGCCGGCTGGGCAAGACGTCTGGGTGGCGTCGGCCGGGCAAGGAGCCGGGCTGGGGCCGGCAGGGCTAGACGTCTGGTAGGTGCCGGCAGGGAAAGACGTCTGGTAGGTGCCGGCAGAGCAAGGTGCCGGGCTGGAGCCGGCTGGGCAAGACGTCTGGGTGGTGCCGGCAGGGCAAGTAGCCGGGCTGGGGCCAGCAGGGCTTGACGTCTGGGTGGTGCCGGCAAGGAAAGACGTCTGGGTGGCGTCGGCAGGGCAAGGAGTCGGGCTGAAGCCGGCAGGGCAAGACGTCTGGGTGGCGCCGGCAGGGCAAGGAGCCGGGCTGAAGCCGGCAGGGCAAGACGTCTGGGTGTCGCCGGCAGGGCAAGGAGCCGGGCTGAAGCCGGCAGGGCAAGACGTCTGGGTGGCGCCGGCAGGGCAAGGAGCCGGACTGGGACCGGCACTGAGCTGCGCTCTGGGGCTGGAGCCGACACTGGAGGGCGCTCTGGGGCTGGAGCCGACACTGGAGGGCGCTCTGGGGCTGGAGCCGACACTGGAGGGCGCTCTGGGGCTGGAGCCGACACTGGAGGGCGCTCTGGGGCTGGAGCCGTTGTGGTGGAGGAGCCCTTTCTCCTCCGACGCTTCCTTGGTCTGGGTGGCGGGAAGCTGGCCACCTCTTCAGACACTGCAGTATACTCCACTGCCTGCAGGACTGGTGCAGTGTCTGATGCGGGTGCCTCAGTAAGTGATGCTGCAGCCAGGATGGTAACTGAAAGGGCTGCAGCAGGTTCAGTCACCTCTGGGTGGGCTACAGGTGAGGCTGACCCGTTCCTCCTCCTCCGTCTCCGTTGGTGGGTCATCGGAGAACTGGGGATTTGGCAATCTGTAAGTGGGAGGGGCGGTGGACCAAGTGGAGGCAGGCCACCATTTCCCTGGCTGTGGTAGACATAACTCACAAACTGCCAGAATGTTAAAATCCCCAGCATTCCCATCTCCCAGGCCTGAAGGGGGCTGTTGAGTCCAGCGTTGAACGCCTCCTTCAGTGCAGTGTTTGTAGATTCAAGCCCCTCTGCAGCGTAGATGAACTGGTATGCAAACTCCTTCACTGTAGATACCCCTTGATGGAGTGAAAGGAGTCTGCCTAAACGCTCCTTCTGCTGGCATGCAGAGGGACGAGAAGTGGGAGATGGGAAAAGGAAGATACCCATTTTCTGCTGAGTCCTCTGTTTTGGTGAGTTCGTACTGTCACGGTCGGTGAGGGGAAAAGGAGCGAGGACTCAGGTGCAGCAATAATGGGTTTTTATTAATTATAAAATGAAAACAAAAAGGCAAAACAAACAACCCAGAGGGGGAAAAACTCTAATAAAACAAATAAATGAACAAACAAACTTGACTGGCTGGACAAGACAGGGCTAGACACAACAGGACAGGAAACTTTCGACGACGAACTCACAAAGGACTGAAAACATGAGGGGGATTATAAAGCAAAAAAGTAAATTGAAACACAGGTGAACACAATTAACTAAATATAGGTTAACAGGGAGGGTGGGACTAGACAATAGACGGGAGAGCGCATGACACAGAGAGACAATACAAGCCATGCGCTCACATAACACAACACTGAAGCACACGACAAAAGCACGTGACCAATGTAAACACCGAGCCATGTGCTTTGACAAAAGACGCAAGACACGAGCACACGATGAATGAAAACACTCACCATGCGCTCACATATGCAGCATGCATGCTTCATCCCAGCGCCGACCAAAACCAAAACCAACAAGACTGAGACGCTGGGAATGAAACACCATGCTGCTGACAGACGAAAACACAAACACGAGTACAAGAGCGCACGCGTCTGAGGGACGCAGAGCGCGCGCGCGGCCGCGTCAAGCAGGAGCGCGCACACTCTACGTACACCCACGACGGCGCGCGCTCACACAGAGACAGAAACAGGACCAGACATGAGAAGTGTCAGAGCTCTGCCACCAAAACAAGAATTTTCAAGACCAAAGTGGCAGAACCCTGACAGCATCATGTGTTGTAAAATGGCAGGAGAAACCTAACGGTATTAAACACGACAGTTTTAAGAAATACATCAACATGATTCACACATTCTTAGCTGGTATAGTGTCTTAAAAAGGGCACGAGAGAGAGATTCACATGATAGAAAAGTCAGAAATGAAATACTAAGTTTACAAACACATAACATTTACTTTTGAGCTGATTCAGGATTTCTGAGTCCATTTCAGCGTCGGGAGCCTTGTGTGTGTGTGTCCCTGTGTTTCTCGGGAGGAAGGGGTGACAGGAATGTCTTTTGAAGTTTGGGCAACCATCTCTGGCTTACCTCTAGATAAGTGAGGTGTCACACAGGCACAGGCTTTGTGGCACCAAGAGTCATAAACCCACGTAGAGGAGACTTAGACCCCTTTATAAAATCAATACGTAATTTTATCTACGAACTGTATGTTAAATTGTCTACCCTTACCCCAACCTCCCAGTAATGCAAAAACTGTGATTATTGTTGTACAGTGTCACAAAAATGACGCTATATAAATGTGGGAATCCACAGCTGTATCCCTTACTGTGCTCTTAACTCACTCTTTGAGTTGACTCTCTTTGCAGGAGACGAGCCGGAAAAGTTGACGTCCATGCTGACCTTTGACTCGGTGATGGGAATCTCCTCCAGCGTAAACTGCTCAGGCGCACTCTGGAGTACAGAGAAGATGTATTCAGCAAAAAAACATGTTAAGCATATTTTCACCAAATACACAAACATGTACATACTTTAGTATACAGGGCTGTACTAATGGGCCCACAGTGTGCCAAGAAAATATCCCCCACACCATTTCACCAACATCAGCAGCCTCAACTGCTGATACAAAGCAGGATGGATCAATGTTTTATTGATGTTGATGCTAAATTCAGGAGAAACATTACATGACTTAAACATGACAGTTTTAATAAATACATCAACATGATTCACACATTCTTAGTTGGTACAGTGTCTTAAAAAGGGCACGAGAGAGAGATTTACATGATAGAAACGTCCTAAATGAAATACAAAGTTTAAAAACACATAACATTTACTTTAGGGCTGATTCAGGATTTCTGAGTCCATTTCAGCGTCGGGAGCCTTGTGTGTGTCCCTGTGTCCCTGTGTGTCTCGGGAGGAAGGGGGGACAGGAATGTCTTTTTAAGTTTAAGCAACCATCTCTGGCCTACCTACCCCAACCTCCCAGCAATGCAAAAACTGTAATTATTGTTGTACAGTGTCATAAAAATGACGCTATATAAATGTAGGTATCCACAGCTGTATCCCTTACTGTGCTCTTAACTCACTCTTTGCAGCAGCTGAGTTGACTCTCTTTGCAGGAGACGAGCAGGAAAAGTTGACGTCCATGCTGACTTTTGACTCGGTGATGGGAATCTTCTCCAGCGTAAACTGCTCAGGTGCACTCTGGAGTACAGAGAAGATGTATTCAGCAAAAAAACATGTTAAGCTTATTTTCGCCAAATACACAAACATACTTTACATACTATACATACTTTAGTATACAGGGCTGTACTAATGGGCCCAAAGTGTGCCAGGAAAATATCCCCCACACCATTTCACCGACACCAGCAGCCTCAACTGCTGATACAAGGCAGGATAGATCCATGCTTTATTGATGTTGATGCTAAATTCTGACCCGACCATCCGAATGTGGCAGCAGAAATGGAGACTCATCAGACCAGGCAACGTTTCTCTAATCTTCTATTGTCCAGTTTTGGTGATCCTGTGTGAATTGTAGCGTCAGTTTCCTGTTTTTAGCTGACAGGAGTGACACCCGGTGTGGTCTTCTGCTGGAACTATCAGCTGGAACCAGTCTGGCCATTCTTCTCTGACCTCTGACCGCTCGCTGGATATTTCCTCTTGTTCGGACCATTCTCTGTAAACCCCAGAGATGTTTGTGCGTGAAAATCCCAGTAGATCAGCAGTTTCTGAAATGCAGTTTCTGGCACCACCAACCATGCCACGTTCAAAGCCACTTAAATCCCCTTTCTTCTCCACTCTGATGCTCGCTTTGAACTGCAGCAGATCGTCTTGACCATGTCTACATGCCTAAATGCATTGAGTTGCTGCCATGTGATTATAAATTTACCCTAACAATCAGCTGGGCAGGTGTACCTAATAAAGTGGCCGGTGAGTGTATATTGAAAAAACATGTTTGATGTTTATGAAGTGTTAAACTTCAAATGTGAAGGTCATGCAACGCGTTTTGTGTTTTCACAGTCTCCCGAATTCCCGAGAACCTGTTTTAAAACGATGATGATGATGTGTATGTGTGTGTGTGTGTGTGTGTGTGTGTGTGTGTGTGTGTGTGTGTGTGTGTGTGTGTGTGTGTGTGTGTGTGTGGTACCTGCAGGAAGCAGCAGATCTGTTTGGTAAGCTCCAGCAGACTGTTCTTCCCCTGATGCAGACCTCTGCTAATGGCCATGCTCAGCTACTCGTGGACACTCTGAGCTTTTCCCTGATAGAAGAGCTCAGTCGGAGAGGAGAAAAATGAAAGCCAAGACCTTTGCGTGTTCTAATATCTTAACTACATATTTATAGGCTGTATTACCAAAAAAATATTATATTTTTAGGGTAATGGTGTCATTAAATATAATGCCAGACATTCAAAGCTTAATTTTAATATCTCAATAATAGCTTTGAATGTAAATATGTTGTGACAATATGGCGTTTTATATGAGAACGGTCAGAATGAGCAGTTTGGTAATTCTTATAGTTACAGAATTCTAGTTCCACTGTTAATAAAGCTTACTCTCATGTCTGTGTTAACACAGAATAAAGCGAGTGCGTTGATGCCCATTCTGACCAATCACAGATGTTTCTGTTGAGCTCCTGAGCACACAGGCATTCAGCTCATGCTGATATGACCTCTCATTGGCTGCAGCTCGTCACTACACGTGGGGTTGAGTCGGCCGACTGCTCTGGAATATTTAGCACTCAAATCAGGCTTAAAATCCTCTAGTGTGAACTAGGCTTTAGTTTGAAAACGGTGTTTTAGATCAAAAACGATCTACGTCCACAATAGCGTTTCACCTAGCGTTTCTGAACATATCTCCGTCCACACTAAGCCACCAAAAACTTATATCACATGACCATCCGCGCACTCTGGGCATGCGCGTTCTAGCAAATATATGCAGCTGCTGTAGTAAAAAGGCAGAGTTTAACTGCACAATGGCGCCTAAAACAGACAATAGTGCTAACAACGCTCCCATTTCTGTGTCCATGTTTTTGTTTAAAGTGAAGGCTGGTCTGTTGTCTTCTGGTAGCGTTAAAGTTATGTGTTATAGTCATGTAATAGGGGCTTGATGAATAAGGGAAGTATACGCAATGACACAAAAGCCCCAATCAGGTAGCAAATCTCAGCAGCCCCGCCTCCGTTTTCAGATGTCTCCGTTTTCCCCCCATCCACACTGAGACGGAGCAGCAACATTTTAGAATGAAAACAGCCACTCCAGCATTTCCAAAACGCTCCGTTTTCAGCGCTCGAAAACTCCGGCATAGTGTGGACGGTAGAGGTGTGAACCTACACTAGTCTCACGGTTCGGTTCGGTTACGATTATCATGCCATTGATTCGGTTCAATTCGATATTTCGGTGCATCACGGTGCATTGACGGTGCTTTCCATACACAGTTTTATATTTTCTTCACAGCAGCATTTCTTGTATTAAAATGTATGAATGTATTTATATTTATATACTATTTGTAATACAATTTTGTCATTTAATACAAACAGTCAGATATATAAACTGTACCTTTAAACAAAACGAGCATTTAGCAAATAATATAAACGAATATAAATATCTAGCTCAATTTCTGATCCTTGTCTAGTTCTCTTACACCTCTTTGATTGGTCACACCCTCAAAAAAAACAGTTGTGATTGGCTCTTGCGCGCTGCGTTCTTCACAGATGAGTGACACTGATAAGCGGCAGACAGATCTCACAGCTGATGTATGATAGACACGGTGGAGAAAACTCTGCAGACACGCGCTCGTTTCTGGATGCAAAAGTAACGCTGTAAAACAGCCGAGAAGAGAAGAAAAGGCACGCCAGGAGGTCAAATGGGCCACTGAGTGTGTGTGAGAAAGAGAGAGAGAGAGAGAGAGAGAGACAGAGCGAGAGACAGAGCGCGCACGCGAGAGAGAGAGAGAAAGAGAGAGAAACGGAGTAGGCTACTTTCATTCTCTCGATCTCAGTGAAATAGGGGCTATTTTTGTATTTGTCAGTGAAAGACCGATCCAGCAAACACACACAGTGAAATTGTGCACAGTTTATGAGTTTTAAGTAGTTAAAGCGCTGTAAATACTCGCGATTGCCTCCCTCGCGACAGAGCGCATATGAGGTAAATGACGTCAGTAATAACCGGTTATGATTATTACTGAACCGATAATGAACTGTCCGCGTCTGCATCGCAGTGCACCGAAAAAACGATTATTTTTGACACCCCTAGTGGACGGATGGCATAACCGTAGCATAATTCATGCGTTTATAATCCAGAGCGGCCCACTACATTCAATCAAAATGCTATCTATCTATGCACGTCTAATATTTTTATCAACTCATATTTAATAAAACACAAAAGCCATATGTATGAAATAAATGAATAAATACTAACTTTAATCTCAATTTAATTTTTGTATACTGTCCATAAAGATATTTGTTGAGTTCTAAAAAATACACTATTTATTCATTTTCTTGTCGGCTTAGTCCCTTTATTAATCTGGGGTCACCACAGCGGAATGAACCGCCAACTCATCCAGCAAGTTTTTACGCAGACGCAGCCGCAACCCATCTCTGGGAAACATCCTCAAACAGTCATTCACAAACACGCTCATACACTACAGACAATTTAGCCTACCCAATTCACCTGTACCGCATGTCTTTGGACTGTGGGGGAAACCAAAGCACCCAGAGGAAACCTACGCAAACACAGGGAAAACATGCAAACTCCACACAGACACACCAACCAGAGCCAGAGTCGACGCCGCAGCCAGCGCCGCAGCCAGAGTCGACGTCGTAGCCAGCTCCGCAGCCAGGGTCGACGATGCTGCCCGAATGGTCGCCGCCGCCTGAGCTTTCCGAATGTCCGCCGCCGCTTCAGTTTTCCTGAACATTCACAGCTCCTTGCCCTGCCGGTCCCAGCCCCGCTCCTCGCCCTGCCGGCGCTATTCAGACAGCTCGCCCGGCCGGCGTCATCTAGACTCCTCGCCTTGCCGATCCCAGTCCGGCTCCTCGCCCTGCCGGCTCCCTACAAGCCTCCAGCCCTGCCGGCTCCTCGCAGTACTCCAGGCCCTCTGTTGTCACACGATCCAGGTCCACTGCAGCTCCACGCTCCAGGTCCTCCGCTGTCGCACGATCCAGGGCCACTGCAGCTCCACTCTCCGGGTCCTTATCTTGTTTCTCCGTGTCTCGATCCTAGCCTTGTTTACCCTAGTTATCCTGTTTAGCCACCAGCCTTACAACCTATTGCCTGTACTTTTATTACGACTCTATATTTGTCTACATATACCTGTTTGTACATTGAACAAACCTGCATGTTGGATCTTACCTCAGTTGTATCTGTCACTCCCTCCCCCGGTCGTTACACATATCATGCAAACAAAAAAACATAAATACAGTACAAAAAGTCCTTACTGTTAATGCTGCATACAGTTGAAGTCAGAATTATTACCCCCCTGAATTATTAGCCGACCTGTTTATTTTTCCCCCAATTTCTGTTTAACGGAGATAAATATCTCAACACATTTACAAACATCCTAGTTTTAATAAATAATTTCTAATAACTGATTTATTTTATCTTTGCTGTGATGACAGTAAATAATACTTGAATAGCTATTTATCAAGACACTAGTATTCAGCTTAAAGTGACATAGTTAAAGGCTTAACTAGGTTAATTAGGTTAACTAGGCTGCTTAGGGTAAATAGTCAAGTTATTGTATAACAATGATTTGTTCTGTAGACTATCAAAAAATAGCTTAAAGGGGATAATAATATTGACCTTAAAAAATTAAAAACTGCTTTTATTCTAGCCTAAATAAAACAAATAAGACTTTCCCCAGAATAAAATATATTGTCAGGCATACTTTGAAAAATTCCTTGCTCTGTTCAACATAATTTGTGAAATATTTTAAAAAAAATTTAAACTTCAACTGTGAGTAATGTTAAGAAATAGGATTTAACAAATTAGAATTATGCATTAGAATTATACATTGTACATTAAAAGTAACCTCAAAAACATTCTAATCCGTCAAGAGAACAAACTAATGTGAACTAATGGGAGCTTATTGTAGAGTGCTTAAAAACACAAATGCTTCAACAACTTGTTGTATTCAAGGAAACTTACGACAAATATTTAAATAATTCTTCAATTTCAAATAAAAGAAAACTTTTTCCCTCAAACATGACATTTAGCATCTTAATAAACACTAATATACAGTGTAAAACAAAAGAATTGTTCTTTGTTATTTAATGACAGTTAATGCATTAACTAATGGGACCTTATAGTGAAGAGCTAAAATATGCTTAAACACTTTTAAAAAAGCTTAATTTCCAAATATGTGTATTTACATCATTTTTGCTCATTAGTAAATATTAATAAATTCTCAAAAAGTATTTTAAAATCTTGTCACTTTATTCTTATAAATCTTCTAACATTGCTGTTATGCATGTAAAATAGTGCTCATCAACATATTGGTATGACATTACCTGGCAGAGGCGGAGTCAGCAGCTGATTGGACAGGAGCTGCAGATATTCAAGTGTGATGTCACGCACTGCAGGGATGTGGAAGAGGTGTGTGAATGTGTGAGGACTCTTGGGGGCAAAGATGTTGAGGAGGGCCATGCGGCAGTACAGACGCGCCAGAGCACTTTCACAGCGCAGCAGCTCCCTGAAACACACACACACACACACACACACACACACTAAGTGAAGCTTCATAAACTAAATTCGAGAGGAGCATGTGATATGATTGATCGCGGCTGGTCTCTCTGTAATCATTGGTAAGCCAATCGGATTATTCCAAACTCACTATAAAGGCTAAATACACTTGTCCTATTATGCAGTTTCCACAATTTTCATTGCACACTCATTGATTTTGCTCTCAGTTTTGCTGTCATTTATTGCACATCTAGAATCTTTGCTTGCGGGTTGACATGTTTTGCTTGTGAGTTTGAAAGTTTTGAACCCATGTACACTGAGGTTAATTTTGTGTCTATTATTCAAACAAGCATGAAGTTTTTGACCAAAATTAGGTACAATGCAATTAAAAAATAAAAGATTTCAAATAATAAAAAAAAACATTAAAATAAAAAAATTACACTGCAAAAAATTAACTATTGCCATTCTATGCAGTTACCACAAGATTAATTAATTGTGTGCTCATTAGTTCTGCTTTTGCTTTTGTTTCATTTTTTGCGGATCTAAAATCTTTGCTTGAGAGTTGAAAACTGCACCTCAGTGGGCGGGATCTTCTGAAAAACCATGTTCTGTTGGCCAATCTTGAATGCGGTCACAGGTTGGCCACGCCCATTACATTTTCTCGCGATTGGACCGGAGTCACCGGCAGTGTTGCCAACTTAGTGACTTTGTCACCAAAATATTTTATTATCATTGACATAAGTTTTTTTATTAAACCTGTTTTTATTTGAAATCTTTTCTTTTTTAATTACTACGTGATTAATTTTTCTTTACAACTAAATATTTTTGATTGAATAAAAAAAAGAAACAAATCTATTTCCATAACTAAGCCGATGGAAAACGAATGAATAAAAAATGCAATAGTAAATGATGAACAATGATTAATAAATACTCTACAAGACTATTCATCCTTCACCCTAGATGTAGGAATTTTTCACCATTTTTCCTATAATATTTTTTCTTCTGGAGAAAGTCTGATTAGTTTTGTTTTGGCTAGATTAAAAGCATTTTAAGGTCAATATTATTAGCTCCTCCAAGCTATATTTGTTTTTTGATTGTGAACAGACCACTGATATACAATGACTTGCCTAATTATAACTTTAACCTAATTAACCTAGTTTAGCCTTTAAATGTCACTTTAAGCAGATTACTAGAGTCTTGAAGAATATCTAGTCTAATATTATGTGCTGTCATTATGCCACAGAGAAAAGAAATCTGTTAATAGAAATGAGTTATTAAAACTATTATGATTAGGATGTGTTGGAATAATCTTCTCTCCCTTAAACAGAAATTGCAGGAAAAATATACAGGGGGGTTAATAATTCTGACTTCAGCTGTATAAAATAACAATAACAATAATAATAATAATAATAATAATAATAATAATAATAATAATAGACAGCCCTTGAGAGGCTTTTGCATCTGAACTCTTCATCTGTGAACAAGATAACACAGAGATGGACTTGCCTAACAGACACGCAACCTCAGGATCGGCGCCATTTTTGCTGGCGACCAGGTAAACCTCATGTGTATGCAGACGGGCAGGAGTGATGGCCAGGTGACGGCTGAGACGGTTCACAAACTGCACCAATGCAAAGTCCATCTCAAAGCTCCATTTTCTGCTGGCTTTTTGAGCATGTCGGGAATCAATGGATCTAGGCTTTTGCCTAGAAAAAGATGTATTAGACTGCCCCAAGTAACGAAAACTGTGTATCAAATGTCCTTTGTGCCGACTGCCATTAGAATTTCATTAATAATTGAGTTTTTAATGTGGTTTATGTGATGATATTGAATGTATTTGTGTTGCCTGTTTTTCTGTGATATATGTGATGTGAGCGCTGATGTGGTGAAGCCAAAGATCATTTTAAAACCTGCAAACCTGTCAAAGAGTAGGTCATATCCACAGGCCAGGATCGCCCGCCAAACACTGCGGATGTCCTGCTTGGCTCTGTCTAGAGTAAACTTGTGGAAAACTTCCAGCGTCAAAAACTTCTCTTCTGGCACTGTTGAGAAACATCGAGATAAAAGCAGATCATTCACACATTTGATCGAGCGCCTGCTTGAAGTTTTTGTAGGATGTGCGCACACCAACCCTATTTTCAATCACTTACTTTTAGACTCTAAATCGTTTTTCAAAATCAACTCTTATACATAATTCTTTAATAATTCTATGGAGACGGTGGATAATATTTTCTTAGCTATTTCTCTAGATAGTAGTATTCAGCTTAAAGCAACATTTAAAGGCTTAACTAGGTTAATTAGGTCAATTAGACAAGTCATTGTATAACGAACTTAAAATTCTGTAGCCAATCAAACAGCTAGCTAGCCGGCAGCTCTCACATTGTCGCCCACTGAAGCTAAGCAGGGCTGTGCTCGGTCAATACCTGGATGGGAGACCACATAGAAAAGCTAGGTTGCAGCTGGAAGTAATGTTAGTTTCTAAATGAGGTCCCGACTCTCTGTGGTTGTTAAAAATCCCAGGGGATTTTATAAAATGTTTGGGTTTCACCCTGACATCCTGGCCAAATTTGGCCTCCTAACCATTCCCATATTATAATTGGCTTAATCTTAATATTAATCTGTCTCCTCTCCACCAATCAGCTATTGCGCAATATGGCTGCCGTAAAATGCTATATAAATGAAAGGAAGTAAAATATATATTTATTATAGGGGGGCTAATATTATTGACCTATTTCCCAGTTAAATTAAGACAAATAAGATTTTATCAAGAGTGTTTTAAGCTATTTCCTAATCACTCATATATTGCCTGATTACAGTGGTATACAGTAACATGCTTTTATGACGAACTACCATATACTGTCAAGTCATTTCCACTTAACATGTCGGAAATCAATGCATGTGCACCTGTGGGGGGTAGTAGTACCAAATTTTTTGGTAGTAGTTTGGTAAAACATGCTTCAGTAAACCAAATTTAAGAATGTATTTAAATAACATCTAATTTATTATAAAAATGCATACGTTTTCAGTGTTTTGAGGGATATTTAGTGACTTTTAGAGGTTACTGTAGGTTAAACTATACAAATTATGTGTCCATTTTTTTTTATTAGGCTACATGCAGATATAAACACTTACAGTATTTTACAAGAAATGTGTGTTGTGAAAACTTTAGATAGTATTGGTCCTCAAGAGCTGCTATTTTCAGACTGTTGAATGATATTTTCCTAGCATTGATTGGCACAATTATGCATTTACAACTCTATGAACCGCTCAAATCTATATTTACATTATACTTTTTTATTATTAATATTAAGGACATAGATCAGAGAAAGCATTTTCTTACTATTAACGTGCTGACCCACCTCTCATACATCTTGTTTTAAAGTCCTTCAGAGGGGATCAAGCAATATTGGAGGGGGTCAAACCCTCCCCAAACCCCCTGTAATTTGCACATTGGTTATTCACACACTGCTGCCACACAACTGTTTAAATCACTTATAAAAGTGATTTTGCATAATAGGTCCCCTTTAAGACTGAATCACTTAAGGCCAATAGGTGGCAACAAGTCAATATCTACATCATACAATATACTTCAAATCATTTCCACTGAAACATGCCTGTTTAACCACATTTCTTAAACAAATCACATATTTTAAGCCAGCGTTTAAGGCAGTGGTTCCCAAACTTTTCAGGCCACGACCCCCAAAATGACAATGCCAGTGACTCGTGACCCCCAATATACTCTGAGGTGGTTATAAATACAGAAACCTTGCATGCAATGGCGCACACACACCAATGGACCCAAGTCTATTCTTCTTTTAATTTTTTTAATGTATGAGTGCTGTAAATGGGCCACACAGTTTAACCAGGTGTTATGAAATCTGCAGCATCTGACGCTATTGCTGTCTTTAATACAATGTAATTACCCTAGGGGTTGCAATCCAATAGAAGTAGTAACTATAAGCTACTATAGTAACTATATATGATATAAACGACTATTTTTTTCTCTTCAGTAGGTTATGGATAAAATATACTAATACTTATGGTTTAATAAAAATAAATAGATTTTTGGAAATCAACAGGCGACCCCCCTTCATTGTCCCGCGACCCCTCGGGGGGTCCCGACCCCCACTTTGAGAACCATTGGTTTAAGGGACAGTTCACACAGAAATGAACATTTACTCATCATTCACTCACACACAAGTGGTCTCAAACCTTGAATTTCTTTCTTCTGTTGAACACAAAAGAAGATATTTTGAAGAATGTTGTAAAAGAAAAACAGCCAAACTTAATTTTGATGGTCAGTTTGTTGAATTTAAGTTACATTGCATCTACAGTACATGCCAACTAATTTTCATTAGACTGTTGGGTTGGGGTTAGGGTAAGTTGACATGCACTTGCAAAGTTTCTTATAGTCAGTTAAATGTCTGTTGAAGGAGCAGAATAAGCAGATATTAAGCAGACAGTCTACTAATACTCAAAATAAAGATGATCTAACCATCAAAATAAAGTGGTACAGAAAAAACCCACAATAGTAGGAACGAAAAATACTATGGAAGTCAACAGCTGCTTTTTTCCAACGTTCTTCCGAATATCTTCCTGTACAGACATTATTAGAACCCACTGTACATTATATATGAAATAATGATTTGCAATTCTACATTTGATTGTTCTTTGATGCAGTCCTTCTCATACGGTCTGTAAATTATTGTCTAACACATCAATAGATGTGAAAAAAATCCTATCGTTTACTTCTGTGTCTGGAACAAAGTGCTATTATGCTTCTCTTGGATGGATATAAATTGCAAGGCTGAGCTTTACTGCTGAATGAGACACACACAAGACAGTTTATTCAATTCACATTTATTGTAAGTGTTTGGCCTGCTGGGGAAATCAAGTTCTTTCTGGAGCAGTGATTGGTCACTCTGGGGATGATGAGTGGAGATCGTGAGGCAGGCCTTCTCGTCTGGAAGAGAACAGAGTCAAGAAAATCAGTGTCGATGTCTAAATGAAGCTGAATTTGAATATGAATTAACATGACCTCTGACCCACAGAGAATTCTATATATACATATGTGTGTGTGACATACAGCATGTTTCAGAAGTGTTACTAAGCTCAGTCAGATGTCATGTCACATAAATGAGATGAAATTACCATTTAGAATTTGTCCACACTAGCTCCTGCTCCTGAAGTAGGCATAAGCAGCACAGACACCTATGCCGACTCCGACCCAGGCTGCTGGACTGCTCACCGCAGCTTTCACAGCACTTTTCACATTGTTGGAGATCCTTCTTCCCCATGAAGACTCGCTGTTTGCTCTCTCCTCTGTATCTCCAGCGGCCTCTCTCTCTGTTTCTCCACTGGTTTTTCTCTCCTCTGTTTCTCCAGCGGCCTCTCTCTCTGTTTCTCCACTGGTCTTTCTCTCCTCTGTATCTCCAGCGGCCTCTCTCTCTATTTCTCCACTGGTCTTTCTCTCCTCTGTTTCTCCAGCTGTCTCTCTCTCCTCTGTTTGTCTTGGAGAGCTGCTGTCATTATCTGAGAGGACCTCAATTGTCTTGTCTGGGCCCCACATGATGATCAGAGGTTTATTCAGTAAATCAGTGAAGTTCAGAGCTTTTTGTGCTCGCACTGCATCACGTCGATGATGGAAAGTCACAAAGGCATAAGCAGGAGAGATGATGTTGTTTCTGCACACTTGCACAGTCGAGATGGACCCCAATGCACCAAACTTTTCAATAAGCTGTTGTTCGGTAACCATTGGGTGCAGATTGCTCACGAGCAGTGTCTTCAGCTCAATAAAGCGGCTCGTGGGGACCACAGGATCTGGTTGCTGGTCCCGTCCTGAATGCTCAAAAGTCACATAAATGTGTCTGCAATTAGTGTCTTCATCAAAAGAAAAATCCAAAGAGTGGATTTGGCTGAACTGTTTCATTGACTCAATCAGTTCTTGTTCGTCCACATCTGGGTCCAAAGTCAGAACAACCGATGACCACTCGTGATGAGGGTTGTCTGAAGACTGATTATAGTAAGTATCCATAGCGAACGAGTCCTTCACAATCACAGATTTGTCAATTCGTACAGTAATTGTGTGATTTACCAAGTCACTGTCCTGAATGCTGGCAAACTGAGATGAGCTGTTCTAACATAGAACTACTATAGAACACATTCTATGACTGTCGTTGCTAAGCAACCATCAGCTGGGAGCGTGTGTGTGCGCACACAAACAGGATTCTAAATTGTTTATAAATGAATCTTAATCTGTTGACTATTAGATAAACTATTTATTACTATTGTTTTATCCTACAGATGATTGTTAATTTGCTGTTAATTATTATTTATTAGAAAAACCACCACTACTATGTCAATTGTTTTTATATGTCCTATTTAATGTAAACATCACAAATGCTTTGGAGATACATATGTAACATTTGTCAAACCAATAAAATAATCTGAAAACATTTGACTTTCTCTGTGTGTGTGTTGGTATTTTTAAAGGTTTAACATATACATCTATTGAAAAATAACCAGTTTCTGTTGGTTTACAGAAGCTTTTAGCAGAAACCTTTGTCTCCTCAGCTGCTTCAGTTTATTTAATGAAGGATTGAGTGCGGAACAGTTTCTTAACTGAAGATATTCGGTCACAGAACTAAACCTACCTGCAAGAGTGATTTATATTTGACTGAATAGAATTGATAAAATAATAATATTCACGGGTGTAAAATTCCTAAATTCACCTCTCACACCATATCCCTTATTAAGCGTCTGTATATACTTAGAAATAAAGTATGTATGTATGTATGTGTATACAGTTGATGTCAGAATTATTAATCCCCCTGTTTATTGTTTTTACCAATTTCTGTTTAACGGAGAGAAAATTATTTCAACACATTTCTAATCATAACAGATTTAATAACTCATTTCTAATAACTGATTTATTTTATCTTTGCCATGATGACAGTAAATAATATTTGACTAGATATTCTTCAAGACACTTCTATACAGCTTAAAGTGACTTTTAAAGGCTTAACTAGGATAACTAGGCAGGTTAGGGTAATTAGGCAAGTTATTGTATAATGATGATTTGTACTGTAGACTATCAAAAAAAATAAAACTTAAAGGGGCTAATAATATTGACCTTAAAATGGTGATTTAAAAAAAACTGCTTTTATTCTAGTTGAAATAAAACAAATAAGACTTTCTCCAGAAGAAAAAATATTATCAGGCATACTGTGAAAATGTCCTTGCTCTGTTAAACATCGTTTGGGAAATACTATATAATTTAATAATAATAAATCAAAGGGGGGCTATATATACAGTTGAAGTATAAGCATAAGCAAAATAATTTATTTATATTTATTTAATTATTAATTATTATTATTATATTAACTTGAATACATTTACATATCTATACATAATAATTTTTATTATGTACTTAATTATTATTTGATGAATGCAGGCTCGAAATACACTAAATCACAGTTCAACCTTTAGATGTCAGTTGTTATGTGCTCAGTTATGTGTGACTACATTCATGTCTAATTTTAAGTCATATTCACGTTTTTATTTGCCTTTGCAGTGGAGTGTATATTTAGATATTGAGAGACTTCCTGAAAATTATTATTGGACACATACAGTTGAAGTCAGAATTATAAGCCCTCTTTTATTTATTGATTTCTTTTTAAAATATTTCCTAAATGATGTTTAACAGAGCAAGGAAATTTTCACAGTATGTCTGATAATATTTGTTCTTCTGAAGAAAGTCGTATTTGTTTTATTTTGGCTAGAATAAAAGCTTTTTTTTTAGTTATTTCAGTTTTTTTATTGGTCTTTTGCATGACAATAAAAATTAAATATTGAGAGGTAAACAGTAATGTATTGTCCATAAATAATCCCACCCCCTAATCTCTCGTTCATTAACTCAACAAAACAATAAATACATAAATACCAAAAAAAGAAAATTAAATACATTAGAACATGACATCAGAGTAACTGGATACAGATGGGACAAATAATAATAATTAAAATAATAATAATGCATTTAAATAAATACAAAAAAATGATAATAATAAAATTAATTAAAACTTTCTGATAAAATGGTTAATGTTACAGGTTGCCAGCACCAGGTGTAATAGGCAGGCCTTTGATGTAGTCAAGAAAGGAATCCCAAATCTTATAAAAGGAATCTAATGAGCCAGAGAGTGAGCAATGAGCATCTCAGCATTCCAAGTCTGATACAGTAAAAATTGTCCTGTATCCACTTGTCATGTGTAGGGGAAGAAGTGTGTGTCCATTTTAAAAGTATGGCACGTCTGGCTAGAATTGTGGTAAAGGCAAGAACCTTGCTGTCACGCACTGTCAAATCAGGTTCAAGAGATACACCAAAGAGGACTATCAAAGGATCAAGTGAAAATCAGTTTTTAATTTTCTTAAACACCATTTTAAGGTCAATATTATTAGCACTTTTAAGCTATATATTTTTTGATAGTCTACAGAACAAACCATCGCTATACAATAACCTCCCTAATTACCCAAACCTGCCTAGTTAACCAGCCTAGTTAAATATCTAGTCAAATATTATTTACTGTCATCATGGCAAAGATAAAATAAATCAGTTATCAGAACTGAGTTATTAAAACTATTATATTTAGAAATGTGTTGAAGAAATTTGCTCTCTGTTAAACAGAAATTGGAGAAAGAATAGACAGGGGGGCTAATAATTCTGACTGAACAGAAGAAAAAAAACTAAAACAAGTGGTGGATGAGGAATTTTCAGTATTTTACTGTCTTTTACGTTTAGATGAGCATATATGAGGTTTGTGTTTATAATTTCCGCATAAAATCAGAAATCAGAAAAGTAAAATTAATGACCTTCAAGATTTTTGGCAGGAGATTTCTCAGGGTCTTTTTCATCGGGTTTGGTCTTCTCTGGAGATTTTGGCTTGAGGACGGTTGTTTTCTCACTCAGTACAGTTCTGCAGAAACAACATTTATCATATGATCTACAGTACATGATAAAATCACACATAAACTGCTATTATATACAGCATTTCATAAGAAAAGTTGCATTTTTATATGATAAGGAATGCTAGTATGAACTTAAAGGCACAATATGTATGATTTTTCATTAAAATATGCAAAAACCACTCGGACAGTGTTATATATTTTGCTGTCTTATGTACATACATTATCCACACAAATTTTTTTAGAATATTGACATTGAGATAGATGTAATGTGTGCTGTGTGTTCATGCTAATGTCATCACACACATTTCTGCTTTGGTTTTCTAGAAAACAGGGAAACAGCAGCGAGGCTTTAATATGTTGTGTGTTTTATTCAACTGCACATAGCAGCATTATAACAGAAGCCTAAAGCAGGTCGCACACCAGAAGCGCCGCTCGGCGCCGCGACAAGGCGCGCACATGACAGTTTAAAGTATCACACACCAGACACGCACATTAGAATGATATTTAACATGAAACTAATCAGATGGCGCTCTGTGGCGCGGCTGAAAAATGAACTGCGTCCTGAGCCGTGGCCGTGCGCCGCCGACAGCCGCCAACTTGTGGCGCCGGTGTGTGTATCCTGATAGAAACCTATGCTTAGAATTCTAAAATGCATGGCGCTGCGTGGCGCTTCTGGTGTGCGACCTGCTTAACATGTATTTAGTCTGATAAAAAAGGGCTGCTTCTCCATGTGACTACAAGATAAAGAACCAGAAGCGTAGGACTATGGCATAATAAAAGCTCTGCTGCTTTCCTGTGCTGAATGGTTAATACTAATAGTGTTGAATAACTTTACTCATCAACATAAGTCCTGTAGAATAATGAAGACCACAACTCCCATGATTCCACACTCAGGGTGCTTTCACACCTGTGAACAGATTCATTTGTTCCGAAAACAGGGATTAAATTGCTTCATTGTTGCTCTTTGTTCTTGGTGCGGTTCACTATTACACGGCAAAGTTTCTTTTTTTTTTTTTCTTTTTTTTTTTCTTTCCTTTTTTTTAATTAGAATATGCAAAAATCATACAAATACAAGAAAAAAAATCAACAAATAACAAATACAAAGCAACGAAACAAAAACAAAACAAAAACAACAACAATATAGTCATGTACTGGTATGTGCTTGAGTGTGTCCGTGTGAGTTTGTGTATGCATGTAAAGATAACTTGGTGGACAGGTCAGAGTACATACATAAGGGACAATGACAGTCAATAAATGAAGCAAGTGTCACAGATATAGATAAAACATATAGAAAGAAACCAGTCAGGGGTAGGGAGCAACAACAATGCTTATTAATGTATGATAGGGCTGTAACGATACACGATATAAAATCGAAATCGCGACACTCAGATCTACGATCCTGTGTCGCGGTGTAATAAGGAAGAATCGCGACACACCCACCCCGTGATACCTTTCCAATAACGTCACGCGTGCCTGCAAAAGTTGAGCTAATTAACACTTTTTTCGTTCGACATTACAAGCACTGCTCCGTTTAAGCCCTCGCAATATTTAGCCGGGAGAGCTCGCACAGAGCTCTTAGTATGGGGCCGTCTGAATGTGTCAAGAATATCAAAAACAAAACCAACTTAACCCCGCTTGACAACCGACAACGCCAGAAACATTGCCAATGCTGTCAAAGCGGCCGGATTTTCAGCGCATATACGATGATTTGCTCACACTGTTAATGTGGTTGCGCAGAGAGGGATGGGCGTTCACCAGATGTTAGGTAACAGCCAAACTTTTCTGTAACCGTGCAGTGCGCTTTCTGTTTGAACCTTTGGGAGTGCTGACTGACAGGTGCGTGAGGTCAGAAAACACGACGAAGCTTTCAGCTAAAATAAACACAGTTTCTATAGTTATAGCCTACTTTATTTAGAGATAAAGGTATATGGCTCTGCATATAATCACTCTATCTTGCTGGAGTTTATAGCCGTTTCGCTTTACTTCAGGATGCATTAACACCGCTCTGAAGGTCTAATCGTTGTTTTAAGTTATCCAGAGCTGTATGAATATACAAATCTTGAATATCACAATAGTATTAAATATTACAATTGCAACAACACAGACAGCAACACTTTTGCACAATCGATACCCAGCTGATTCAGTCGTTTATAAGAGGACCGAGCCTCTTCTTTTTTCCTTGTCAACATAAAGGCAGTAAGGTGCGCCTTGTTTTTGGCCACTTGTTTAACTGCAAGGCATACTTAATTTGCGGGATGATAACGTATAACCCGTGCCTACAGACACATTTGCTAAAGAAGCAAAATGGAAGAAGAATATTGCTGTTTGATACAGACCTGTTGATACTAGACCAGCGCTTATGTTGACCTGGATCTGCGTAATAAACGCAACAAATAGGCTTTACTTTTTATTTTACAGCTTAAAGCATGTACGCAGATTAATGCAATATCATATTTAAACAAACTGTTTACAAAAAGTCTACATATGCGCGCGTGTTGTTGTCTTTTCATCAGGCAGCGCGCGCACTTGAACCGCGAGGGAGAGAGAGGAAACCATAGGCTATATCAGGACATAATCTTTAAAATAAGGATTTCTATTAAAATGTAAAAGGTTTTGTGATTATAATAATAACAGCGGGGCATTAAATAAATGCATATTTTCCGTGGAGCGAGCAATTTGAGGAAGTCTGCGATTTTTATTTGACGGAAGAAATAAACATATGATTGGAAAAAAAGCCTATGCCGGTTATTAAAAAGAATCAGTCAGTATTTTCGTTTTGTAAAATAAATTAATTATTTAAGTGAAAATAATTTAGGGCAGTCCTATTTATTTTATTCATTTTATTTAGATTATTCTGATCTTCTGTGCTAAACACTGCAGGTGCGTGAAGATGCTCTGTTGTTCTGTTCCGCTATTAATATATAAAAATAAATCAGTATTTTAAAATGCAATATTTAATGTGTCATACACAAAATAGACAAGTCAATTTGTTTAATATAAAATTAATAGTAATCTGACCAGTTAACCGTTAATAACCGATTAATGAGCGGCGGTTGTCGGTTAGCAAAATTAACGAAATGAGCATCCCTAGCTATTTAATTTACTTTTTCTATGCAAGAGAACTTGATTGAAAAATAATTTTCAACATGCTTGAACCATCTAAACAATGGAGTTTAGTTTGGTTTTTCAACAGTATTTTGTTACAAAGAAAACAGAAGTGATATAGCTTTGGCTATTTATTTATTTTATATATGGCTATTTATATTGTTAATAATTTGCATAGTTAATATTGTTCTTTAATGTTTAGTTTATAAAGATTTTTCAAATGTTATTTAATTAAAAATAGTTTTAAAAATCTTTTTTTTCCCCCACCCCACACGAAAAAAATAAAATAAAAAATCGTGATACGAATCGAATCGTGGGTCAAAAATCGTGATACGAACCGAATCGTGGGTTTGTTGTATCGTTACAGCCCTAATGTATGATAGTAAAAATGAGAGTAAAAAAAAGAAAGAAAGGACAACAGTAATAAATGATAACAATAATAATAAATAACAAGTGCTACACCAACAGTGTTGCCAGTGTTCTACTGTAAAAAAGCCTGGTAAGGTCTAACAGTGTACGTTACACTTTACCCTGTGAATTTAGTACATGTAAGTAGATTTTTTTTATTCCTTTTTTTTCCCCTCCTCTATTTTTTCTTCATACTTATTCTTCTTTTTTTTTAATCTGTTGTCGGACTGGTCAGGAGAAGTACTGGTATATAAATAATAATAATAATAATAATAATAATTTATGTATAATAATAAGTAAAAAACAAATATTATAAATAATAATAATAATAATAAAATGAATAAATAACATTGATGGAGACAGGAAAGGAGAACAAATAGAACAAAAGGTAAAGTAAAGAAGTATATAAAGTCCGAATTATGATTCTTTTATTTTAATTGTTTACATTATACTTTTTTCCAATTGATTTATTTATTTTAAATTAGATTTAATATTAGATTTTTATTTTTTTTACGTTTTTACACGGCAAAGTTTCTAAACGGACCAAAAGAGATAAAACAAGTCATGTGTGAGTAAACTCTCTTCACATTGGTCAGAGTTTCACGGTTTATTTTGAAGAGTCCTGCTCTGCTGTCAGGGGGGCTGGGGGTTTGGTGGTGTTTGACAGGATGCGCGCAACGTGTATGAAGACTAAAGAGCGAGGAGGGATGCGGTGGGGAGGGTTGAAAGGGTGCGCAACGTATTTGTGGACTGGGAGGGTCCACTGTGCATTTGCGGGAGACTTCCGGGAGACTTGGGATGTCTGGAATGACCTCCCACCCTACTCATAATTCTCTCTTTATATAGCCGAGTATATGCCTATTACATATCCATAAAACACTGTGATATAGCCGGGCTCGGATGGTATCGCTTTCTTACTACAATGGATCTGCTCCAGAGTTCATTTAAATCAAGCCGAGACCACCTCATTCAGGCGATCTCAGACCGATTGTTTTGGCTTGGATCCGAGCGCGACTGCTAGATTCACTATAGTAAGTGTTTAAAATAACTGTATATGTTATCTGTGTTACACTGGAGCATTTTAAAGCCGTGATTCATCAGCGGATTGCTCATATGTCAGCTTATATCCAAATCAGCTGATGGATGTGACTTTAAAACACAGTGTCCTTGTATATGTGGTTACACTCAGTAAATAGCAGTGAGTTCAATAAACCGACGACCTTCATGGCCAATTGCAGTCATTTCTGTTGAGCATGTGAACACAATGGCAAATCAGCGCTGTTTAAGAAAGCGCTCAATGGCGCTCAAATGTTAGCGTGAAATGGAGGTTTTTAAACAGAATCACAGGCTCGTTCTGAAAACATCGTCCCGTGGACGTTTCTGGAGACCGCAAATTATGTAGCCGGAGGTACGTATGGTATGGCTGCATTAAATTTTTTTTAAACGAACGCTAACTGTGGAAGGCTTTCCCACCGCAACCAGTTTGTCCAGTTAGCTCGTTGTGTACATCAACGGACTTGAGACGCCAGACGAGGACAAGGACGGCGGGATTCGAGTACAGGGAGGAGCGGTTCCAGAAATCAGGTGATGGAGGGTTGGTTGGTCGAAAGCAGCTTCCAGTGGGTTTACGCGTGGACAGCGGGCGCAAACGGCACTAGCGGGAGAACTTACTTAAGAATTTTGAGATCTAAAAAAGCGTACACAGCGGCCTCTTGTGGATTTGCGAAAACCAAAACTGCATAAATAAGTACCTCCCGGGATGTATTTTGCGGTCTCCAAAAACGTCCATGGGACTACGCTTTCAGAATGAGCCAGGGTTGTTTTTAAAACTTCAGTATCGATTGGTACCGAATTCCAGTATCGTGACAACACTATAAAAGCACATTTAAGACACTTCAAGACTTAAAAAAAAGGAAAACAAACTGTTGAAACAAACAAAACAGCAATGTGTTGAATGCAACATATAATGTCTAGGGTTTAGCTCCAACTTGCTTCAACACACCTGCCAGGAAGTTTCTAGAATGCTAGTTAGAGTGTGATTAACTTGTTTAGGTGTGTCTAATTGGGGTCGGAGCTACACTCTGCAGGACACCGGCCATCCAGGATTGAGTTTATACACCCCTGGTTGTATAAACTCAGAGCAAATTAAATAAGCATATCTCACCTAGCAGCTCCAAGACCTGAATGAGCACAGAAGTGGGCACCGTGTCCAGCTCATCCTCAGAGCGCTTTATGGTTTCTCCTACACTGTAGGTTAGCAGCTGTTCAGCGAAGGCCATCGCCAATGGAAACTCAAGAAGCAACGAGTGCAACACCAGCACTGCTCCAGGAGGGGGAGACACGCCTGTGGACAGAAATATAGATATAAGCTAAAGTCAGCAGGAATGGTCTTAATGAATCTGATTGTTCACTTAGAGAATGCAAAATAATGCAGATCACTGTTAAAATAAAATAAATGTACAGTGGGGAAAATAAGTATTAAACACGTCATGTTTTTCTAAAGGAGCTGCTGACATGGAATTGAACCAGATTTTGGTAAAAACCCAAACAATACAAACATAAACATAAAACAAAACCAAAAAATATGAGTTTTGTGTAATTACAATGAAATGACACAAGGAGAAAGTACTGAACTGTTGAAACGTATTTAATTCATTCATTTTCTTGTCGGCTTAGTCCCTTTATTAATCCGGGGTCGCCACAGCGAAATGAACCGCCAACTTATTCAGCAAGTTTGCATTTAGAACATGCAAACTCCATACAGAAACGCCAACCGAGCCGAGGTTCGACCCAGCGACCCAGCAACCTTCTTGCTGTGACTGCCTCTCCCAACGTATTTAATACTTTATATAAAAGGATTTTTTGGTGATCGCAGCTTAAAGACGCCTCTCACATGGAGACTGAAGCCTCATGCGTTGCTCAAGTGTGAGTTTCTCATAGACTTCAACAGAGATTCAAAATTTTAGTGCTTCTGTGCGTCTCGTCTATTAAATCTGAGCTTTATTTTGTGTTTTCTATTGAATTCAGTTCAGGTGATTGGCTGGGCCATTCTACAGCTTGGTTTTCTTTTTCTGAAATTATTTAAGAGTCTCCTTGGCTGTGTTTTGGATCATTGTCTTGCTGAAATGTCCACCCTGGTTTCATCTTTATCCTCCTGCTAATGTAGATGTTAGACTGAAGCAGCTGATGTTCATTTACACTGAGGAAGGGCAGAAGGTTGCTAAAGAACTACTGAGAGATTTCAGCTGCTGTCTGGGCTTTCCAAGTCTTTCTACACCCAATTTTTTTATGTGTTCGATTATTTTTCCCTGCGTTATTTCATTTTATTGCACATCATTTAATGAATAAACAAATTGGTTTTATTTTCTTTGTATATATGGATTTCTTTAGTTCTTACCGACATGCAGTGAACATTTCAAGTCTCCAGCACCGTTAGAAATATGATTTCTGAGAAAAATGGTGACGTGTTCAATACTTCTTTCCCCCACTGTATGTAAGAGATTGTGACGTGCCCAATTTGTCGTGCACTTTGTCAGTGGGGATGATGATGCTAGGATACTGGTTGGCTGTGGGTGGAGAAGTGAGGCCTGTGTTGGACGGAGAGGCGTCCAGCGGGAAACACACGGCCCCCAACAGGTTCAGCTGGCCATTACGCTGCACTTTATGACTGAATCCATACACCATCACTCGAGTCCATGGAGCTTTGAACAGAGAGGAACTAAGAGAGAGAAAAAATTTAATTAGCATTATCAAATATTTGTACAAGCGGTTCATTCCGCTGTGGCGAACCCAGATTAATAAAGGGACTAAGCTGAAATGAATGAATAAATAAATATTTGAACACAAAATGTCCTTAACACTGAAACTACTGTAATGGCCATAGCGATCATTCTTACCTTTCTCATATTGAACATCACATTCATTCCTATAACTGTGCATTCACACCGAAGGTGGTGAAAACGTCAAAGGTCGCCGTTGCAGCATATCATATCATATCAGTTACATTACCTCATAAAACATGCTTTCTAGCGTGAAGATGTTGCACACTTTTTATCAAATTCAATAAACAATGGAAGATCAAGTTGTATGTGGCAAGGTTATAATAGTTTTGGATTTTTCTTTAGTTTTAGTTTCTATTTCGTTTTGACTTTTTGTTTTCAAATTCAGTTAGTTTTTATTAGTTTTAGAGGCAGATTTCCTAGTTTTTATTAGTTTCTATATTTTAAAATGTCTTAGTTTTAGTTTAGTTTTTATTAGTTTCAGTATTAGTTTTAGTTTTTTTTCTAAATGAGGATATTTGTTAGGTACAAGATTGAAAATCAACAGGATAAATATTGTATAATTAAAAAAGCAGTCATACATTTTTTGAAACATGTATTCAGAGGACACATGAACACTATCATCTACCACAACCATCTACCCATCCTCAAATTCAAATACAACAGCCCACAAGAAAGCAGCCCTAAATACAATATGTGTGCAAGGCTGCTTGTGAGGTTAGACGTAGTGATGGGCAGGGCCGGATTAACCAATGGGCATTATGGGCACATACTCTCCATCACGAGGAAGACAAGTAGGAATAATGAATAAGTGTGTGTATTATGGAGGACTCAGATTCCTAGAACTGGATTGGAGAGGTGTTATCCAAATCATATGCATTATAAGTTTGTAGAAGTTATACATTAAAAATACCCTTAAATATAAGTTTTAGTGCTGCTTCAGTGAACTTGAACAAGTATATTAAAATCTATTAACTTCCCTTAGTTGTATTAAAAAAAATTTTAAAGTGTGCTTAAATGCTTTAAAAATAAGTTAAATCTCTGTAGACTACAAATATATGTACTGTATATCATCTATTTAAACAAATGTGGACAATACATTATAGATTAATTTTATTTAACAAATATTATATCAATATTATTTTTAATTAAACTATGGGGTGCGGTTATAGGGGGCCTACAAGACATTGTGCCCAGGGGCCTCTGATTTATTAATCCGGGCCTGGTGATGGGAAATTCAGATTTATAACGCAGATGTTAGGACTCAACATTATGTAGTCGGCAATAGTAATTTCAGTCAGTTAAAACATCATCATGATCTGAAAAATGTCTTACAGTGAAGTTTTACTAACTGTAAACCCGAACTGAATCATGCTTCACTTATTTAAATTTCATTACGATTGTCTGTTATGAAATAAACTTACGTTTTTTCTCCAGATCCTCTCATTTAAGCCCTCGGTTTACCCGCGCTGCAGTTGTTTTAAGTTCAGTTCAGTCATACAGCAGGCTGTACCGTTTGTGTTTGGTTCACTGAATCACGCATGCGCAGTATTATCGGTTTACCAACTCTCAATGTAACGTTACTGTTCTAATAACTGCTTGAGAGTATATATTGGATTATCTAAGAGTCAGAGGGGGTATTAGGCTAGTTATTACGTAAGAAGTGGGTGAATGCTTACTGGAGACGCGAATCGTTTCAAATGATTCAGTTCGATTTGGTGAACTTGTTCAACCGGTTCACTTAGAAGATTCGGTTACAAAGATTCGTTCGCGATTGCGCTACAGAAATACAACCCATTATTGGGCACAAATGTGTTAAAGTAATAATTTTAAGTCTCTGTATTTAATGCTATCACCGTGCTGCTGTCATGTCCACTTGTTTTTGTCGCGGGAGCAACAGAGAAGATGACTCGAGGAGAACCGGCTCGATCTGCCCAATGGCGGAAGGAGACTCTGAGGTCCGAAAGGGTCAAACACAAATACCTGCAGCGCGGATTATATTTACTTCTAAAATGCTTACAGTAAGATTATTTATTAGATACATTTACGTATACGAAAATGAAGAAGGTTTTTGCTATAATTCTAGTTAGTTTCAGTTAGTTATGTATGTACACGATACAGTTTCAGTTAGTTTTAGTTTTTGTATGTGCACAATACAGTTTCAGTTAGTTCGTTAGTCTTCGTTAACTATAATAACCTTGGTATGTGGTGTGGCTTTGCTTCACTTAATTTTTAAACGTGTCCATATGTCTGAAATATCCTGAAGCAGCAATACTGTTCTGTCTTGTCGCATGAGATTCTCGCTTTTTTAAAGAAAAATATATATATATATATATATATATCAGGGCCGGCCCAAGCCTTCAGGGGGCCCTAAGCAGGATTTTATTTGGGGCCCCCTTGGTGCAAACAATATGACAAATTATGGTCAATCCTTGATAATAAGGATAAGACTATAAATTTAAAACACACATTATCGATTTTATTCGCTGTAGCTGTGTTGCTTATATCATAAAATATATGTTTTTAAACAATTCTACATATTATTCTGCAGAAACAACTTCCTCATGATCCAACTTTTTATATAACTACTTGCCTCAAATCTAAATAATTAGACACAAAACATTAATATGGGCTGGCAGAAACAAAAGCAGCTGGAAGTAGCCAATAACATACTTATTTTTATTATTATTCAGGCACAAGACGCTGCCAAACAGTCAAACATAGTGACAATAAAGATACTTTTTTTTATTGGATATAAATGTTAATACTGAAAAAAATCATATTGTATTTTGTAGTTCAAATAACTTAAAACATCTATTTAAATTAAAATCAAACTAAATCAGGTAGCCTTTTCTAGACATACTCGCATATAAATCAAATTAGTAAATATGTACAAAAAATTTTCAGTTTTCAGAAATAATTCTAAATTAAGTTTTTTTTTTTTTTTTTGTAAAACAAATTAATCTGCCAATGAGATAAGTAAAATAATCTTATTTAAAACCTAAAACAATATTTTTATATACCCTAATTGACAGATTATTTAGCTTTTTTAATGAAAAATTCACATAATTTTGACTAAAAACCTGTCAAGAAAATGTTTATTGGTTTAAGAATTTTTAGATATTTGGATTAAAAATCACACAAAAACTATAAGAAAGAAAATAATTTTTGCAGTGTATTTACCAACTGTCAATTGTATAAATCAGAAGCTTATTTTTAATCGCCAAGTTAAAAAAAAAAGCATTTTGCTGCTGTTCCGGGCACTGCTGCTTCAATCACAATATCAATGATTCTGCGATATATTGATAGATCACAAGAAAACCAGTCACAATATATCACAATTTTGGTAAATGAAGGGGGAAAATGCATAAAAAAATTATGATGAATTTCTTTTATAAACACGCATTTATAGAATTGCAACAATGTAAAACAAGTGCACATCTGTCAAACAAGCTGAAAAATGCTGATGTGCAGAGAGCAGTTTATGACTGAGGAGAGCACATCTCTATCACAGCAGCAAAATCTCAATTTAGTGGAATATGCATTTAAGAAAAAAACTGCCAAAATAGTAATTTATTGCTTTCTAATTTTCTGTAAACTTAAAACACTTATTACAACTTGACCAACTAATTTTATGTAAACATGGAAACATTTTATGCTTAGCCCTGGTTTATTTTTAATAAAAAAATATGTATCCCCACTATCTTTTCAACTGATCAGAATGCTCTGAGAGGTGAGCACAGACTCCTCTAAGCACGTATGTTTTCAGCAGTGGAGAACATTAGTTATTTACTCATCTATTTAAGTTTTTAATTCCCCTAATATTTTTTTGCCAAAAAACAAGACTTTGACAAGGTCTGTAAGAGTCAAATAAACGCAAGTCCCTTCTAATTAAATGTTTATGTCCTATTGATATCTTTATATATTTTGGCGGAGGTTAAAAGTTTGAGCATATAGGAAGTTGCACTGGCCGCGGGCACGTGCGAGCGATATAGCGAAGTGAAAGCGCTTCTGTAAGAAAGAAACTAGTGGCAAATTCGGGGGAGCAGGATGTCTGAAACACACAAATACTTTGGACCAGCTTATGTATGCATATGTATGCGTCTAACGCCCACACTGGGCAAAGCAGATGAAACGCTTCTGATCTGCGTCATAAATGGAGGATTAAAGGCCTGCAGCACCATAGGTCGTACCACTTCATGGAGACCTTAAAGAAGTACCCTATTGTGGGGTACAGGAATGCTCTCACCATGCCAGGTGAGCAAGAGGGAGCTCCTCTTTTGAGATAAAATGCCATTTCAGCATTAGAGACTTTTTTTTACATCTCCTTCAATGCAAAAATAGGGACTGTCCACAGGCCCTCGAGCACTATCAACAAATCCTGAATAGGAATTTTACTGGTGCATTTAGGCCTCAACCCCCTGGATCCAAGGAGGAATCTGACCAATGCTACAGATACATAAAGCGTCTCATTAAAACGCTCCTGGATAAAATTCCAGCACCAACCCCACAGGTGGTGAAACTGGACCCAAGTGGTGGTCGGTACACCACAAAGTGAAAAATTTACCTGGTGGCATACAATGTCCTCATGGAAGGGGCTCTGGAGCTTAGTGTGGTTTGAACATGTTCAGTTGAAAAACCAAGATCTATGAGGTGGGTCCCCTCAGAGGCCACACCCGTAGCTTGCCTGGGACAGAACTCTTCTGAACAAGAATCTCCCATGGGAGACCATTAAGGAAAGACATTAGGTCTGAGAATCACACACTTGTAGGCCTAGGGGCCACCGATAGTAGGTTGAGCCCTCTAAATAGACTCTCTCCAGAACTCCCAGGAGCAAAGCGATCGAGGGGGGGGAAAGATACAGACAAAGCCTCAGCAATGTCTGCACCATGACATCCAGTCCAAATGGTGCTGGGTGTGTCAGTAAAAAACCACAATGGGTATTGTTTGTTTTGACAGGTGCATATATCCACGTCGGCTCTGCCGAATCTCTGTCAAATGGTCGCTACCACTTCTGGGTGCAGTCGCCATCCCCCAGGTGCCAACCCCTGCCTCAACAGGAGGTCTGCTCCTACATTCCTGGGCCTGAAATGTAAGCTGAGATGTCATGCAGCTTCACCCGAGCCCACAGAAGGATCTGCTCCGCCAACCTGCACAGAGGGCGCGGATTCAGACTCCCTAATGGCTGACAAATGACCACCGATGTGTTGTCGGTTTTCACTAACACATGGTGACCTCTTATTTGAGGGAAACAAGTGTTTCAGAGCATGAAACACTGATAACATCTCCCAGCAATCGATATGCATGTGGAGAAGATGGTCCCTCCTTTGCCCCAATGTGGGAAGGCCCCTCAGGGTAGCTTCCCAACCCTCGCATACAGCTTCTGAAGTCAGTGCCATGCGCTGAGAGATTACTCCCAATGTAGGGCTTTGGGACAGAAACCAGGGCTGTCACTATCGATAAAGCTTGTAGATAATGTCACAAGGCTTTGATTATGCAAAATCCCTGGATTTGAGCCACCGCTGTAACAATGACATGTTAGCAGACCCAACCATTTTGATGGCTGCTGCTAACCAGCCTTTAAACAGTTTGACAGTGATAGCTAGGCCCAGACTGACACTCTTTACGGCGATCTGGATTAACTCTATTTGAGTAGGGGAACAGACACACGAACATCGTTGTGGAGTTCCATAATACACCTAAAAAGTATTTGCCAACTTCTGTCTCAACATGAACTGGCACAATAATACTTTACCGTAGGATTCGCCGCAACCCCAACTTCTGTATGTAAGCAAGAACAACATCTCTATGTGAAATTGCTAACTCCCTAAACTGGAATTAAATTAGCCAGCCGTCGAGAAAATAGAGAATACAAGTCCTTTGTAGCCAAAGTGAAACCAATGGTACGTTAACTACGTTGGTGAACGTGTGGAGTGAGAATGCCAGACCAAATGAAAGAACCCTGTACGCCTTGCCCCTAAAGGCGAAACTCAGGAACTTTCTGTGACTTTAAAGGATGGATATGTGACAAACCAGCCCTCAGACTGTATTTGACACTATGGTGCTGATAGTCATTGTTTTGAACTTCAGCGTTTGATCAGACCGATCTAGTCATCTTAATATATATATATATATATATATATATATATATATATATATATATATATATATATATATATATATATATATATATATAGGATATAATGTCCATCCTTCTTTGGAACAATGAAGTAATACTATAAAAACCCAGACTCCATGTCTGGAGGAGGACCTGTTTTATGACTTCCTTCCTCAGAAGGGAGTCTACTTCATTTCCATTTCTAGAGCCTTCATTTCTTTCACAGCACTCGACCAGGGTTTTTTAAAATGAGTACAAACACCCCTCTCGAGGACTGATTGTACTTGCTCCTGGTCAAAGGCCCTGCGCACACACATAAATCGTGCGTGTCCTGATCTATGATTA